CCTCTTTAACTTTGTGTTGTTTAACAAACATATTTTTAAGGATGGAAGGAAAAGACACTTATTTGCCTTAAATTCCAAGTCACTGCCTGACTAAGCCCAGAGTTTCAAGAAATATTAAACTAGAAGCCTGCTGGGAATTTGAGTCATCAGCTTAAGATACCACCGAGATCAGGACAACTCTGGTTGACCTGATGTTGGTGTTTATTCAGAGCTTTGGTGGAAAGGAGTCTCTCACCGTTGTTAGATGTCTAATTTAAAAAGTCATTTCTTAGTCACTTGTTAAAGTGATAGGACTATTCTTTGTTTTCAGACCTGTAATTTGCTAAGGGATTGAGGACAATAAGAAACTAAGGAGTTTGGAGCCTGTGTTGTTAGTAGTCTGCTTTGATTATTTTACTTTTACTTTCTTTACTGTTATAGCTATGTGAAGGTACTAGGTAAAAGTCTGGTGGTTAGCTTTAGATAGTTAAGATAAAAGCTTAGCTTAAGTCACATACAGTGGCTAAGGTGGCGTCTCCTTATATTTAGGTGTTTTTAGTAGTTTGTTATACTCTACCTAACATGTTAAATGTGTTACTGCATTAAAAAGACATTGCAATAGTAAGATAGGAAATTATGTTTGTATGAAATCTTAAAATGAGAATAGTATTATAATGTAGTGTTTAATGATATAATGCAGGTGAGAGAACCTGGCTTGTAACAGTACACGATCAGAATTTGAGAATTAGAAGTTGAGAATAAAAAGGAGACATCTCTCTTGAGGAATCTATCCAGAAATTGAGCAATGTGAAATTTTTAAGGGATTGTAACTAGATTGTGAAAAGCACACTTTTTTAGATGCTTTAAATTCCTGAATTTATGAGTTTATAGTAATCTGTAATAGAGCAGTGGATTTATATACTGGAAAAGTAACACATTAAGGGAAGGAGGGAGGACAGAAGGTGGAAGACACAAGAAAAAGTATTTGGGAACATGTGAAATACTCCAAATGGGAAATAAGAAATGTCCTCAAAATGAATTAATCACAGTTGCAGTGTTTCTCCTAAAGGAACTATTTGCACAATGGGTCATGTAGGCTCACATTTGATTTTTGAAAAACATACTTAAAAATATTTCTGTTTTGTTATTCCACATTTATTTTTCTAGTCTAGGTTCTGCTACTAAATCAGTGATGCTACAGAAAAAGGAAAGTTTTTCTGTTTTTTTTTTTTTTTAATCTCCCTGGGCAGCATCTGTAGAATGAGGGGGTTAGATTTGATTTCTGAAATTCTGACTATACATCAGTCTATGCTGCTGTTGATAGTGAGCAGTAAAGATTCTAAGACTGCAGTTTAAAATGGAAGTAGAGATGATTTGGTAAAAACTTGGAATATAAAAAAAGTTGTTGTTTAGTTGCTTGCCTTTTGCCTTTTCCTTTTTTATTGGGAGGAGCAGGGAAAGGAAGAGAACTGCTATTTTGGGGGCAACTGCTTTGTGGCTTTGCACACATTTTCTCTTTTGAAATCCTTCAATTCCCTTTTGACATATAGGTGTCATTTTAAACATATTGACATTTTAAACATTTTGACATATAGGTGTCATATTACATAGATAAAGGAACCTAGTCTGAGAGATGCCAGAGTAACTTGCCTGATGTCACACAGCTAATTTAATTGATAATTTGATTTTCCATAAGAACATGCCATCTTTTGAAGAGAAAGCCAGTTGCCATCTGATTTTCAGGAAGTCATTAAAAAACCTTGCTCCCAACCTGGTAGCCACAAACTCGTGCAGCGTGTACAAGCCTCCAAGACTGGATTCTCAAAGACCAGCCTCCCTGGGAAGGCTAGTTGTTGCCAGCTGAGATTCTGCAGCAGTGTATGTTAGTTCTCCGGAGAGCTGATGTCCCACTGCCTGTGTTTAACTGGAGGGAAATGTAGTCACCAAGGGCAAGCTGTATAGGCTCTTTTCCCTCCAGTACCAGCTCTTGTGAAGTGTACCTCAGAATTACTGCAGTGTTCTTTGAGGCAGAAAGCAACTGTGTTTCTTGATATAATTCATTAAAATAGCTTGTCATGGTGTTAATCCGGGTGTTCCCAGGGCTAATTATGTTTGTCCACTTCAAGGAGCAGTTGTAGCAAATTCAGAGCCATAGCTCTTCCTGGTTGAAAAGTTACAACTCTTGACTATTATAGTTCTTAACATGATTTTTTTTTATTACCCTGGCTTCACTACAATAATTTTGTTAAAGACTATACTCTGCTAATAAACTAGTCTGTGTCCTACGAAGAAGAAGTTGATAATGCATTTGTGAATTTATTAGAAGGAAACAGAAGTGGAAAGATGAGTAGTAGTTGGCTTCATTTTGCAAGTTGACTGTTGTCAGTCAGGAGGGAGATTTTTGACTTGGAGAGGTTTATGGTACATAGTGTATTTTTAAGTACACACCAGGCATCTGCTTTTATTGTTAAGGCCATGAGAAATAGAGTTATGAGCCTTTCCACCTCTTTTTACTTGCCTCATTTAAAATTTATGGAATTTTGAACCCAAAAGATTCAAGCTGAGTGGTTCCCTATACATTAAAAGGTACAGGCAAATTGAAACTATATTGGAGACACAAAGATGAGTAATAAGATTCATATACATAATATATTCTAAGGTGCTTTGGATTTTGATTTACCAAGTAATGTTGGAAGAGCAAAGAATTTGTATTATGAAAACTGCAAAGGAAATGTTTTGCTTCTATCTTTTATTAAGATAATATATTGTATTTTGGCTAAATAAGAAAAAAGACAAATTGTCAAGGTGAACAATCTGAAGGAAAAAAAATCTTTCTGAAGTTTATATATTTATATTATTTCCCTAACCCATCCCTGCCTTTTTAAAATATCTAATTGAGATGCATTGAATCTACGAGATGCCAAACATAAGGATTGGAAATAGGAGGTTTGTTATTTACTATCTGGTTCTTTCTCAATATCTGGATGTTTGGTATTATTGAGGCAAACCCCAAGGCAATGCATTGTTAGCTCTGTTGCTAAAAATGTTACCTTTACCTATCCTGGTAATATTTGACTGACCTGAATCAAAGTCACATTTTCCTTCTTCCTTTTTTTCAACTTTGAATTTCTTTTGCTTAGACTTCCACAAATTGAAGTAATTTCAAAGAATCATTAAATTTCAGGTTGGAAGAGAATTTGTGAAACTGTGGATGCTGTGGATTTGAGGCTGCTTGTCTTAGAGGCACCTGTTCTACTTCCCCATTATCACACAAGTCGGTTTATAGAGGCATCTTGCTTATGGAAGAACACACGGTTAGTGTAGGCTATAAATCAAATAATGACAATGCTACCAGTCAGCACTTATATACCATTTTCTTTTCTTTTGATCCTCCTCCTTTCTCTATTTTTGTTTGCTCTTTACCTTGCTTTCCCTTTTCTTTCTCAATTTCTCACCTAACCTTTTTTTTTTTTTTTTTTGCCTGGGGATCCATGTGATACAATGGGGAATGATTACTTAAATTCTGCAGTGTGTGTTATTGTTGTTAAGTTAAAATTTCCAAAGCATTTATTATCTGCATTTTACAGAGGAGGAAATTGAGCCCTTAAGAATTTAAATAAATTGTAAAAGTCATACAGCAAGCAATTGGGTAGACCTGTGATGAGAAATCAAATCTTGATTTATTTCACACTTTTTGTTTGTTTATTTTTGTTCAGAAAGAGAAGTTTGTGTACCAGGTATTAAGGAAGAGTTAATGACCTTTGGTGATGGATCGAGCAGTAAAGTCCAAGCTAACCTACCAAGGAGTGATCTATGATAATCAGAACTAGGTCTTGAGACATGGAATGAGAAAGGGCCAAATGCATCACTCTTGACCTCGTATCTTATTTTCTTCTCATGGTCTTCAAAAAAGTCTTAGGATGCATTGAATTTTCTAATACTTGAAATGTAATTTGTAGGCTGAGAATTTCAAAGAGGTACGTTTTATAGTATAGTTGTGTATATGTTCATACAGTGGCTTTGTTTTACATGTCATATGTGTATTTGGAGTTCTATTGAAAAAGCCATGGGAAAGTTGCTATTTGTAGATTAACAGAGCCAGGTACCTTTAGTTGACAAGTGTGACTTGAATTCTCCCAGGCCAGCTCTACTTATTACTGAGGAAGAATGTTCCAAAACCATTAACAGAGATGTTGGGTCTATTGGTTCAATTGTAAACATATTGCAAAGATTGTGGACTCCATTCCTGTATTCTCCTATGAAAAGGTGGGGGAGCACTGTGTAGACCAGTGGTAATAATGTGCTACAAATCAAGTGCATGTAGGTCTACACCTCTAGAAAAAGAGCAAGAGAGAAGAAACCTAACTGTAACCCTTTATGTGGGCCATACACTGACCACATTCCTGACCTTGGTGAAGCAAATTGGGAGGGAGTATTTTCTCTCACAGGACTGTGGGCAGGAGAATTTAGAGCCTCATTACCATCCCCAAGCCTCTAACAAAATCAGATTTATCTTTCAGTTTTCTGTACCCCAATTGTAACAGTCATACTTGTTTTATATCTAGGTTCCTTGGTAGACTGTAAACTCCATGAATAGCAACTTATTCATCATTGTATTGTTGGTGACTTAAGTGCCTGGCACACAGAAGCGTGTCTATAAACATGTGATGAATTGAACTGTACCAATCCCAGCTATTGGTGAAATTTGGCTCATTTGGGTTAGGGATGGAGGCTTTATGTATCTATATATTACGATTGTTAATTATTATGCACAATTTATGAATAATAGCTGCTCTTCATTTTTTCTTTAGTCTATTTAAATTGGGATTTCTAAAAGGAAGAAATAGACATATTAATTATGCCTTTTTAGGCATATTAATTATGAGGGAAAAAGTAAAACTAACTGTTGTAACATTATAATTAATTGGCACTTGGAATAATTTGTTTTGTAATACTAATTTTCTTTAAAATACACAAGTTATGAGAAATATATACAAATATACACAAATATATGAGAAAACATGTTTATCAGAATCTTTGGGGAACAATATTTAATTTTTTTGGTAAGGAAATAAAACAAAATATTTCTAGAGCCTTCTAGGTAGTTTCTTTAGCTTCACTTCTAGCAGTCAGAAGGACCTACCAACTCAGTGCATTTAATTGCATTGGCTTTTACTGCTTAGGAAGGTGAGGCATCTTAAAGTTTCATATCTGGAGTTAATGTTGGCATTTGATAACCTTAAAAGTTACAGGGTACCAAGAATGATTGATGATTCAAAACCTGGCAAGTTATATAACTTAAGTGGTATATGAAGCCCTTTTGTTATCTTTAAAAAAATTAGAATTTTCTCTTCACTAGAGATGAATTTCCTGACTCTTAGAACATCATCATTTTCAGCTACATTAATAATTACTGGTAAGAGGCAGAAAATAAAATTTTGAAATGAAACTCAGAAATTTCTAGATGAGAAATTTATTTTCAAATGCTAATCAATATATACAGATTATTTGGGTATATGTTGTTATTTATAGCATTGATGTTTAACAAGTGCTCTTAAAATAACCTAGTTTCCTGTTTTGTGAAGACAAAATTTTGCACCAAAGGTAACTTTAGGGGTGTTTGGCAGTGAATTTCTTTTGTAAACAAGAAAAACATCTTCTCTTGCGGCTCTCATTTCTATGTATTCACATGCTTATAAATGATAGCAAAAGAAGCAACAGCTAATGGAGTAATGTCTGAAGTGAAAGGGCAGAAAAGTGAGCACATTTAGTATTTATGTGGTATTACTATTCTGTGTTTTCACCAGTGCTAAAAAGTTACCCGGAGTACCTGAACCCCTTTCCTTTCATTGATCATTAGTGTCAGTCAGTATGTTATAGAGTGCATGAATTTCTTCTATATGTTGGTATGAATTTCCCACTGCTGGATTTCTCAGCAGACACCCAAACTTAATTTCTCTTTTGTGAACTAAAACTTGTAACTGAGGTATGGCATTTCATTTTAATTAACATTATTATCCTATGCAGTGAAAAGGTGAATGGATCACTCTGAATGCTGCTAGTTGCCCCTGATACAAGTATTTTCTTAGCTTGACCAGTCATCCATCCACTTATTTTACATTTCACACATCCTTGTGTGTTCTACCTGATAATGCCAAGGAATGCTTTCCTTTGAAAGTATTCAATTAACAAACGCATTCACCTTGAATTTTAAACTTTTGTACCACAATCTTTTTTTCCTCCTTTAAAAATGACACATTCTCTTATTAAGATTATTCATTGTTTTAGCACAACTCTTTTTTGCAAAACTATCATTTTCCATCATGTTCCATTTGATGGTACATTATCTTAAACCTGTACGTTTCAGGGTTGCTAAAGGCAAAAGATGACAATATTGGTTAATATTGAGAATAGGTAAAAATGGGCAGTCAACAAAAAAAAGTAAAATTTGACTTTAAATCTTTTGAATATCTAATATTAATATGCATTTTTTCACACCAGTCATAGAAATCCAAGTACTGTTTTATGTTACTGATCTTTAAGTTGTTTCATGTGTCACAGTGAGAGTGGTAAAATTTTTTTTATAGTTGTATGAAGTGAAAAGAGAAATAATAGTATATATCACTATATGATAAAACTAAAATATCTCTGGGTTAATAGCTTGCTAGTTTAGACTGCATTTGATTTTATTTTACAGTGGCTTTTAAAGTTTGTGTTTTTTTGTTTTGGAATTCTGGTAAATGTGAACAACAATTCATATGCATATAGGTGTAAAAAAGATATTTTTAAAGATATGCTGTGTAAATATGTCCAATGGAGACAAGTAGCAAGTTTTAATTGCTTTCTGCAGTTTAAGTCACTGGCTCTGTTGAATACTTAAATGAAGCATCAGGAAAGAAAACAATTTGTATTTGTATATACTTGCCTTGAGAGTGTTGCAGGATTTAGCAGTTCTCAATGACGATTATTACTTTTAAAAAGGAAAAAAAAGAAAGTAGTGAGGGGATAGGAAGTTTTGGTATGTGGGAAGGGAAAGGAAAAATTACTTTCTAAATTGTGTTGAAGTTACCATTTATTTTGTTTTAGGCCTATTTGCATAGCACATTCTAAAGAATGGTGAAAGGTAATAATTTGTGGTGAAAATATTAGTATCCTTACTTAACACATTGCTGGGTGGTTTAACTATTAATCAGAGAGAGAGTGGAGAATAAAGAATTAGAGCTGGGGATTAAATAGGTTTTAGCATGATGGCTTTGCCACAGAAAAGCTATGAAATGGGTGAGTCATTTAATGTTTTCAGGCCTCAGAAGTAGTGTTACTTCGAAAGTGAGCTTTTATTTTCAAATGCATTGAGTATCAGGGTGCACAGAACTTAGGGCTGGGAGGATGTCCCTTATGATTTTTTGAGCTTGGCATTTAATATTTTACAGCAAAGTTTTTAGTCTAACATAATTGAACTTGTACTAGATAGGGTTAATAGGCTAGAACAAAAGGTCAAAGCATAAGGCATTAGGCTTAATTAAGGGAGAGCAGGAGTGGCAGGAGTGTGTGACAGTTAAATGGGTTTCCCACAGACTAATGTCGGTTACAGTGCAACCATGCCTCAACTTAAGTGGGTTATTTTGTGCAAAGGGCAGCAGTGATTAGCAGTTTGACATGCCAGACACTTCTGGCCAATCCCATCTGTTTTAGAGGTTAAAAAAGCACACCTTTATGAGCTGATGGATTGATTTGTGTGCCCGTCTGGTAAAGATTAGAAGTCCAAGGCCAATGCAGTAAATGTCAGTTACAGAATATTGTGCTTTCTTGGTTGGCTCATTGTTTTAACCGTCAACTGTTTTATAATGGGGGATAACTGCTGTTTATGGAGTTGAATGCAAGATGGGTGGGGGAACAGGTGAGGGAAGAGGAAAAATATTTCCTACATGGAATTGTGAATTAACATATTCTGTAGCAGGTGTTTCAAATTTTATGGCATGTTTCTGACCTGTTCCTTACAGTTTGAGTCACATTGTTCTTTTCTGAGTGTTAGCTCAGCAACACTGTCAGTCCAGAATTTAATTCTGCATACAGAATTGGTAGGTTTCTTTATTTAGGCACCTCTTTTTCAGGCAGATGGATAATTTATCTCCTATTATTATATATATTTTTAAAAGTGTAATGTTTTGTTCATTGACCTCCTCAGGAAGGGAAAAGAGAAAAGAAAAGAGGAAATGAAGAGAGCCATAGACACACAGATACACATATACACACACACACTTATGTTCTTTTATGTGGGCAGTCAGGTGCAGCCACAAAAGAGACACAGGAGAGACTCAGGACAATTGTTTATGTAGTTTATTATACTCATCAGTCCTAGAAGGCCATACGATGCAGGACCACGTGAGAAAGGATCAGCATTGGTCAGGAGGCTAACGGGGCAGGAAGTAGGAAGTAAAAGCCTAGGCTGTGGCCTTCATTGAAATTTCTGTGGAAAAGGCAAGGCAGAGCAGGGTAAGCAGGTTTAGGATTGGCTAGTTCAAATAAGCTATAGGTATATAATAATATTAATAATACGCTATAGGTATATAATAATAATAAGTTTTGAATAAGCTGTAAGTATATAAGCTCTAAACTGTAAGAGTAGTCCCTAGTTTGCCTGGTACCTGGCCCTGGGATAATAAAGGCAGAGAAATATTGCCTCCTAGGTTGTGTGTGCCAGTGAGAGGAGTTATGGGTCTGGATTGGTTAATTTGCGTATCAGAGGCATCCTCTGGCTTTGCCATATCTAAGAATTGACTAGCTCCTGGAAGGGTAGTGTCTCCCCAGCCAGAAAGGTTTTTAAGAAGTCATAATATACAGAAAATCATTTTTAAGAAGTCGTTTTTAAGAATCGTTTTTAAGAAGGTTTTTAAGAAGTCATAATATACAGAAACCTCATAATATACAGAAAATAAGAAATATAAATTATGCACATACATATATACTTGTTCTGCCCATAGAATTTAATGTAATCACCTGAGATTGAAGTGTGACTAAACCTAGATTCCAACCTGTTTCTTTCTTCATTGAAAGCTGTAAGTGATGCCATTAATATAGTTTGTTTTCAGTTCAAAATTGTAGCCCATTTAAAGATAACACAAAGACTAAGTTGTAGTTATAAAAATTGGCTTCAACATATTCTAATAGCCAAGGAAAGGAAAAAAATCCTAATTTTATGGAGATGAAATAGATTCAGATATTGTTGTCATAATCAATAAGTTTGGGAACATAAAACATTCAGTCTTTTAGGGTGGGCAGAGGGAAGTGTTTGAGAGAAACAAAAAGTTATCTCTATCGGAAGATTATCTTCAACCTGAAGTTTGAATTCAAATAAAAATATAACGAAGAATATGTAAATGACATTGGAAGATTCTGATTGATGTCATCTTCTCGTATTCTTGTCAAAGAATGTGAGCCATGAATTGCCTGTTACATAGTTACACAGATTGTGTATTTCAAGTCTGGCCCTGAATTGCTTCTTATAGAAAAAAATAAAGTATCCTAAGGAAATGTGATCACTGAAAGTTATATTGTAAATGATAATAGTAATTAGTATTTTATGAATTGTATGTATCCATTTATTTTTAAACTAAGCTAATTCAAAGGAAACTGACTTAATTTATAGAAAGAAATTGAAAAATTTTATTTCTTGTTTAGAAAGGACTGAATGACATCATGGTACTAGAGTTTATTTAGGCATACAGTACTTAAGTATGTAATCATCCTTGTGTCTTTGTGATGTAGCATCAATTGAAATAATTTGGATCTAATCCAGATTTATGTGAAAAAAGATTTGGTCTTCTCTGTAGGGAGAGAATGTGAAGAAGCATAAATTTTATATCATTGCTTCTCTTTCACTAAATCATTTTTAAATTGCAAAAGACTGGCTTGAGTAGTATAATAGTGTGTGAATGGTAAATTAAATGTGCGAAATTTACCTAATTTAATGGACAAAAACTTCTTCAATGAATCTCCTGGTGATGTTATATTAAACCTAAAATAAATACTTGACACTCTACATTTGTGCTCATATCATAAACATTTTTAAAAGTACTCTAGATCCTATCCTTTTGGTTTCCTTCCCTTTTCTCCGGTAACTTAAAGTGCCCATAATAATCTAGTTTGTGTTAGAATTGCATTTTACTAAACTAAAGGGAAATATTTTGTAGGGTTAACTTTTTTGTGTTTTGATATATTCTGAGGTTTTGAAGAATACATATTGTCCCCTGTAATCTATTAATATAGTAGTTAATTTCTGTCAATCTATTGTACTTCCCTTCTTTTACTAATGTGATATTATTGGATTTGTGACATGTAAAGTATGCTCCTCTAAGCAAATTAGTTGAACATATGCTTGTTTAGGTTATGAAAAATGAAAGCAAAAACTTAATGTGCTTAGCATCTTGTGTTTGCAGTTCTTCTCCTAAAACTATAGATTTGTAACTTGAATTTTAGTTGTTAGACATTTTTATGAGACAATGAAAAAAAAATTAGCCCTATTTTGTAATTTGATTTTAAATGCTATTAAGGTATAGAATTGTTCTAGGCAGATTAATTTTAATAAGAAAACCATGATACATGATGAACATATTTGAATATATTCTTAATATGTTATATATATTTATATTAATAAAATCAATGTATGTATATGTATGTATATGGTATATTTCCAGTAGATATGTCTGAACCTGTTGATTGTGTTAAGCATTTGGTACCTCCTAATGAAGGATGGAAAAGGTGCTACTGCACTAAGTGGATCATTTCTCCTCTGTAAATTGCATACATTTTACTTTTTTGTATTTTGTGACCTTGCAGTCAGTGACTTCAGCCCAGAATAGTTTCAAAGTCATGTAAATGAATGCAATTAAGGTATTGCTTATCATCTTACATAGTTCAGATGGAACCTTATTGGATAGAGAGGTTTATTTGTTTTATGAGGAAGGTCAAAATAAGGTTAAATTTTATTACATAAAATGATTTGGTAATGTCTTTATTTAGTTGCTGAAAAAGTAGTGTCCTAATAGGAAATGATAATGCTTTTTTTCCCTCAGTTGCCTGGAGGGCTCTTCAGGGTTTGTTTGTTTGTTTTTTCTAATAGTTATGAATTCTATTTTAAAAAGATGTCTTTTGTCTACTTCTAAGATTTTGAGAACATTCTGCCCTTACTTTTGATTCTAGGTATCTTTGATTTATGCCTAGGTGACATGCCCTGCTGCTGATAGAGGGTAGCTTTGGTGTTGCTGATGTATATGTAGGCTTACTTCGTTTTATTGTCTTTCACTTTATTGCTCTTCAAAGATACTGTGTTTTTTACAAGTTGAAAATTTGTGGCAAGCCTGCATTGAGCAAGTCTGTGGTACCATTTTTTCCAGTAGCATATGCTCACTTTATGTCTCTGTGTCACATTTTGATACTCCTCTCAATATTTTAAACATTTCCATTCTTTTTATATCTGTTATGGTGATCTGTGAACAATGATGTTTGATGTTACTATTTCAATTGTTTTGGGGACCATGAACCATGTAAACAAGTGAACTTAATCGATAAATGTGTGTGTTCAGACTGCATCACCACCTGGCCATTCCCCAATCTCTCTTCTTCTTCTCAAGCCCCCCTGTTCTCTTAGACACATCAATGGTCATATAATATCCCTATAATGGCCTCTTAAGTATTCAAATGAAAGAAAGAGTCACGCCTCTCTTACTTTAAATCAAAAGCTAGAAATGATTAAGCTTGGTGAGGAAGGCATGTCATATCTGAAAGCCAAGATACGCTGAAAGCTAGGTCTCTTGCACCAGTTAGTCAAGCTGTGAATGCAAAGGAAAAGTTCTTGAAGGAAATTAAAAGTGCTACTCCACTAAATACATGAATGACAAGAAAGCAAAACGTCCTTATTGCTAATATTGAGACAGTTTTAGTGGTCTGGATAGAAGATCAAATCAGCCACAATATTTCCTTAAGCCACAGCCTAATCCAGAACAAGGCCCTAACTCTTCAGTTCTGTGAAGGCCGAGAGAGGTGAGGAAGCTACCAAAGAAAAGTTAGGAGCTAGCAGAGATTATTTTGTGAGGTTTAAGTGGAGGAACCATCTGCCTAAAATAGAATTGCAAAGTGGAGCAATAAGTGCTGATGTTGAAGCTGCAGCAAGTTATCCAGAAGAGCTAGTTAAGGTCATTGATGAAGATGGCTACACTAAACAACAGATATTCAATGTAGATGAAACAGCCTTCTGTTGGAAGAAGATGCCATCTGGGACTTTCATAGCTAGAGAAGAGAAGTCAGTGCCTGGCTTCAAAGCTTCAAAGAACAGGCTGACTCTCTTGTTAGGGGCTAATGCAGCTGGTGACTTTAAGTGGAAGCCAATGTTTATTTACTAATATGAAAATCTTAGGTCCCTTAAGAATTATGCTAAATCTACTCTGCCTGTGCTTCATAAATGGAACCACATAGTCCAGATGATAGCACATCTGTTTACATCATGTTTTACTGAACATTTAAAGCCCAATTTTAAGACCTGTTCAAAAAAAAAAAAAAAGATTCCTTTCAAAATATTACTGCTTATTGACAATGCACCTGGTCATTCTCAAGAGCTCTGATAGAAAAAATGTACATGTTGTTTTCATGACTGCTAACACAGCACTAATTCTGAAGCCCATAGATCAGGAGTAATTTTGACTTTCAAGTCTTATTATTCACATTGTGTAAGGCCATAGCTGCCATGATAGTGATTCCTCTGAGGAATGTGGGCAAAAGTCAATTGAAAACCTTCTGGAAAGGATTCTCCATTATAGATGCCATTAACATCATTTGTTACTCATAGGATGAGGTCAAAATACTGACATTAACAGGAGTTTGGAAGAAGTTGGTTCCAACCCTTACAGATGACTTTGAGGGGTTTGAGACGTCAGTGGAGGAAGCAACTGCAGATGTGGTGGAAATAGCAAGAGAACTAGAATTAGAAACGGAGCCAGAAGATGTGATTGAATTGCTGCAATCTCATGATAAAACTTCAATGAATGAGGAGTTGCTTCTTATGGATGAGCAAAGAAAGTGGTTTCTTGAGGGGGAATCTATTCCTAGTGAATATTCTGTGAACATTGTTGAAATAATAACAAAGGATTTAGAATATTCCATAAACTTTGTTGAAAAAGCAGTTCCAGTCAGTATTTGAGAGGACTGACTCTAATTTTGAAAGAAGTTCTGTTGTGGGTAAAATGCTATCAAATAGCATTGCATACTACAGAGAAATGTTTCATAAAGAGAAGAGTAAACTGATGGGACAAAATTCATTGCTGTCTTATTTTAAGAAATTACTATAGCCACCCCAATCTTTAGCAGCCACCATCTTGATCAATCAGCAGTCATCAATGTGGAGGCAAGACCCTCCATCAGCAAAAAGATTACGATTTGCTGAAGGCTCAGAGCATTGTTAGCATTTTTTAGCAGTAAAATATTTTAAAATTAAGGTGTGTACATTGTTTATACACAACGCTATTATACACTTAATAGACTACAATGTAGTATAATACAACTTTTATATGCACTGGGAAACCAAAAAATCTGTGTTACTTTATTGCAGTATTCACTTTACTGTAGTGGTCTGGAACAGTTCTAGTGATATCTCTGAGGTATGCCTGAATGTGTTTAGGTGATTTGTATTAATGTCCAAGTACCATGCCAGTTGATACAGGACCTGAGACAGTGGCACTAGAGTCCTAGCTGACCTGGGCAGAAAGGAGACATCCCTCCCAGCCTAGCTGATTCTGGGCATTGGGAGAACATTAATATAGACACTAGAAGAGTCTTACTGATGAAGAACTGAGAGTGAATGACTGAGTGAGTGTCTGTTTGTGTGTAGTAAGCAAAAGAAAGGCAAGTATTTTTCATTGTAGTTGGTCCATATAACTATGTTCCTTTTATATTATTTTTACTTAAGCATGGTATGTCAATTGATCAAGGCTCTAAGATTCATTGATTTCATTTTGCAGACATTTACTGAGTATTATTTGTATACCTTGCACCATGCTGGCATTGAGAGATCGAAAGATGAATTAAGGGCTCACAGACACAGGGAAAGTAAGATAAGGAAGACAGAGATAAAGTGGCCTAGAGGCATAGTGGTGAAGTGCCTGCTTGACTAGGATGCTATGGAAACATCACTCTGAGAAATTTGGTACCTGTATATATCTATTTAAGAAGACTGAAGGGCCCTGGTAAAATGAAGTGATAATGAAAGGTAACTATTTTGGGAGGTTAGAATTCAGATTTATTTTGAGTCAAAGTATAATCCTTGAGAGCTGATAGTAGATTATGGGCTAGGAATTGAGAGCTATAGAAATGTAAGTCAGATATGAGTACAGTGGCTGGTCGAGACAAAGGGAATGCTGCATGATACCTGCCTTATCACCAGCTAGCTTCCCTTGCCATGCCCTATTGACCAAAATAAAACTTCTTCAGCCACCACAGTATTAAACTGTATGCTGTGTCTTTTTCTGGCTAAAAACTTGCACCCATCTTTGGTTCCTGAAAGTGTAAACTTTCCCACATGTCTATGTCATTCCATGTCTAGAATGGTTCTAATTCTGAGTTTAACATTTTCTGTTCCTAGTGGTCTGGAAAAGAAATGAAGTGTTTTAAACTCTGTGATGACCATCAAATAATTCTAATACTTTTTCTCCCAGAATCCTTGATTGAAATTCCTCTTTCACTGTCATTTCCTTGACATTAACTTTTCACATCTTTGAGAATAGGCACCATATTTACACTAGTGTAAAAACAGATAGGTGTATTTTGGTAAATAATTATGAAATGCAAGTTGTTTTATTAGATGTGATCAATAACTATGCCAGGAAAACTTGTATCATGAAGAATACTTTTTACCCTACAGTACATCTTTTTTGTTGTTTTTTGAGATGATTTATTTTAGTCAGTAGTTAAAATTCCATTGTAAAACATACTATTGAAATTCTTTAAGATAAGACACACTTGAAGTAATACTTATTTCTCTTCATTTTCAGGGAGTGTTTGGATTGTGAGCTATTTCAGAACTCTGTTCTTAGGACCCGTGATTTTAACATTTGGGAGAAACACATCCAGAAGGTATCATATTTTGTCTTATTGCTTCATTTATTTAAATGTAATCAAGCCTTTCCAATTATGGGAAAGTAATATTATTATGCTATATTGTGTTGTTTGTTTTTCTTTAACTTTCAGAATTTTTTTTAGACACAGGGTCTTGCTTTGTCCCCAGGCTGGTATTGAAGTAGTGCAATCATAGCTCACTATATACCTCAAACTCCTGGGCTCAAGTGATGCTCCTGCCTTGGCTTTGCGAGTGGCTAGAACTACAGACATGTACTACCATACTAGCTAATTTTTTTTTTTTTTTGCTTAATTTTTTGTAGAGATGGCATATCACTATCTATGTTGCCCAGGCTGATCTTGAACTCCTGGCTTCAAGTGATCCTTCTACCTTGGCCTCCCAATGTGCTAAGATTACAAGCATGAGCCACTGTGCCCTGCCAACTTTCAGATATTGATAAACTAGTTTGACATTTCTCACCAAGAAGGGGGCGGGGGTATATTTCAATCTTGATAAATCTAAATTTTATGTAAGTAAATAGAAAACCTGGTTTAGATTAAACCACTTTTGTATATTTTAAACACTAAGGTATTTACATTTTACCTTTTTAGTATAGAGCTATTTTAAAGAATGTCTTGATTCAAAAATAAGATACATAAAGTTCTTCTTTATCTAAGACAGTGTGAAGTATACAATAAACATTCAGTCTTAAAGTCCTTCCTGCCTATGACTGCTCTGCCTTCTAGTATACAGAGGAGCTGTCATCTGTATTTCTATCAGTCTGTTATCAGAATCCATTACTCAAACAGGCCACCTGGCTCTGCCTCTGTCCATTTACTAAATTTTCTCTTTGCATTATCATATTTGGTTACATCGGTATAATATAATAATTTATCTGCTTGTAGACCCAAAGTGTCAGGACATGTGACCATATTACTAGAAAGGAAAGATATTAAGATCATCATGCTGGACGCGGTGGCTCATGCCTATAATCCTAGCACTCTGGGAGGCTGAGGTAGGAGGATAGCTTGAGGTCAGGAGTTTGAGATCAGCCTGAGCAAGAGCAAGACTCTGTCTCTACTAAAAATAGAAACAATTAGTCAGGTGTGGTGTGGGTGCCTGTAGTCTGGCTACTTGGAAGGCTGAGGCAGGAGGATCACTTGAGCCCAGGAGTTTTAGGTTGCAATAAGCTATGATACCACTGCATTCTAGACCAGTGACAGAGCAAGGTTCTGTCTCAAAAAGCAATAAAAAAGATCATCAGTTGGGAAACTTGCCTGCTTTGTCTTTTTCACCTTATCTTAATCTGTTTGGGCTGCTATGACAAAATGCCATAACTTTGTGGCTTATAAACAACAGAACTTTATTTCTCACAGCTGTGGAGGCTGGGAAGTCCAAGATCAAGGTGCAAGCAGATTTAGTGTCTAGTGAAGGCCCATGTGCTCATAGATGGCTGTCTTCTCACTGTAACTTCACATATTAGAAGGAGCTTCTGGGCCTCTTTTATAAGGGCACTAATTTCATTCATGAGAGTATCACCCTCATGACCTAATCACCTCCTAATGGCCCCACCTCCAAGTACTCTCACATTGGGGATCAAGTTTCAATTTATGAATTGGGGGTGGGGCACAAACCTTCAGACTATAGTACACTCCATATACCCCACGTGGATATGCTGGCTGATTGGACTAAAGTCAGTGGTGAACAAGGTCCCCTTGGTCCATACCCAAGATTTCCTTCTTAATGTTCATCTTTATACCTCTCCTGTACCTTGTGTTTCCCTTTTTAAAAATTTTTACCATCTGTCTTGCTTAGAATAGAAACAGATGGAGAAAGGATATATAAATATATTTAATAAAATAATGTATTCTTTAAGGTTGTAAGGAATAGGCCAACTTCTTTGAATATATATTTACTTTATTAACTGAATATTCTTGATTTATACTCAGATGAATAACATAAAAATCAGTTTTACAAATTTTCTTTCTTTTTTTTTTTTTTTTTGAGACAGAGTCTCTCTGTTGCCTGGGCTGCAGTGCCATGACCTCAGCCTAGCTCACAGCAACCTCAAACTGCTGGGCTCCAAGCCATCCTTCTGTCTCAGCCTCCCGAGTAGCTGGGACTACAGGCATGAGCTACTATGCCCGGCTAATTTTTTCTATATATTTTTAGTTGGCCAATTAATTTATTTCTATTTTTAGTAGAGATGGGGTCTCACTCTTGCTCAGGCTGGTTTTGAACTCCTGACCTTGAGCGATACACCTGCCTCTGCCTCTCAGAGTGCTAGGATTACAGGTGTGAACTACCTCGCCCAGCCCAAATTTTCTTAATCACTGTCAAGTACTGTGAATTTCTAGGATTGTATGAATATATTATGTTTTCCCAGCACATTGTATTGAACTTTTAAAATAGAAATTGTTTTATATTTAAGATTCTTCACTAATTAGTAAAGCAGCATTTTCTTCCTCTTCTTGTCAGTTATGGGGGGAAGGCAAAAGCAAATAAAAAATTGAAATGAGCAAATTAGAACTGTAAAAGAACGTTTCAGTGAACCCCAAATATTAGTTAAATTTATTATGTATTTTATTAGTAAAAAGAGTTATGTGTCCAGAAACTTTGGATAATATGGAATTCAGAGTGATCTTTTTAGATTAAAGATAGAATTAACTATTTCAGTTAAATATTTGAAGGTATAAACATTCAAGCTTAGTTATAAAGGGAAATGATCTTTGACATCTTTTACCATAGATTAGTTTTGCCTGTTTTTGAACTCTATAAAATTGTGAACTGTTTTGTATCTGATTGTTTTTATCAACATTTTGTCTGTGAGAGTCATTCACTTTGTGCATATCATTTGTTTTTTCCTCCTACATCGTCTATATTCCATTATTTGATTATATTACCATTTATCTGTTCTACTGTAAATACACATCAACTGTCTTTCCAATTTGTTGCTACAAACAAGGCTGCTGTGAACTTGTTTATATCTTTTGGTAGATATGAGCATTTGTTTCTGATGAGTATAGTATATGCACAGGAGTGGAGTTGCTGAGTTGTAGGGTATGCATGTGTTTAGAGTACTAGAGTGCTTTTAAAGATATTTAGGAAATGTCATTGTATCTTTTACTAATGATAGATTTTATTGTAAGATAGACTTTTTTTCCTTCAACTTTATATAAACTCTAAAGTTGTTTTTTAGAGTTATTTAAATTTTCCCATATGTTAAAAAAATAAGTTACCTATTTTCCGATTCCATTATAATATGTATTTGGTTCACAAAACCTGGATCTGTTCTAGCCCTAGTGAAGGAAAATAGGACACGAAACCTTCTTATAAATACTTATGATTGTGGAAATACTGTAAATGGATTTTAAAGCAAATCAGACAAAACATAATGAAGACTTTATTTGTTGAATGTTTAAATATGTCCTTAAATATTTAAAGTAATGGATATTCTTGATTTACGAAAAATGTATTTTAGCATTTCTGATAAATATTTCTTGTGTCATTTGACTGTGTTTGTATTACTCTGGTGACTAGAGTGAAATTATTCATTCTAGGATATAAGTATTTGAGAAATTCTATATTAATCTTTCTCTGGGTCTTTCCTGTAGAGCAGTGCTGCTCTGTAGAAGTATAAGGGAAGCTATGCTATGTAACTTTAAATTTGAAATTTTCTGGTAGCCACATTAAAAAAGGGAAAAAGAAACAGTGAAATTAATAATATGTTATATTTAACCAAATATATGAAAATATTACCCTTTCAATGAATAACCAACATAAAATTATGAGATATTTTATATTCTTTCTCATATTAAATTTTTGAACTCTGGTATGTATTTTTGCTTATAGAACATCTCAGTTCTAACTAGTCATCTTTCAAGTGCTCAGTAGCCACATGTCCCCAGTGGTTGCTATATTGGACATCTCAGCTATAGAGTTACATCTTGGGTTTTTTTAAAGATAATGCTTTAGTCAAATTCACATATAGTTAAAATTAGCCTTAAAAATCCAATATAAAGATGCCGTGTCAGATGCTGATATACCGTCTTTAAGTAGGTCTCAAACAGCCTATTTTTCCTCCAGTGTTGGAATAAATAACATTTTCTTTGGTTGAATATCAGATAAAGCAATTAGTCAGTGTTTAGGGGGCATGCTGAATGACAAATATGTATCTTTAAACTGTAAAATCAAAATGTGTAACAGTAGATTTACATCTTCCATCTTACTCTAGGTTCTATGTAATGTAGAATTTTTTTTTTTTTTTTTTTTTGAGACAGAGTCTCGCTTTGTTGCCCAGGCTAGAGTGAGTGCCGTGGCATCAGCCTAGCTCACAGCAACCTCAAACTCCTGGGCTCAAGCGATCCTGCTGCCTCAGTCTCCCGAGTAGCTGGGACTACAGGCATGCGCCACCATGCCCGGCTAATTTTTTATATACATATCAGTTGGCCAATTAATTTCTTTCTATTTATAGTAGAGACGGGGTCTCGCTCTTGCTCAGGCTGGTTTTGAACTCCTGACCTTGAGCAATCCGCCCGCCTCGGCCTCCCAGAGAGCTAGGATTACAGGCGTGAGCCACCGCGCCCGGCCGTAATGTAGAATTTTAATGGGGGTTGTTTTCTTTTTTTAAAAATAATCATAGCTGGTTTAATTTGAATATGATAAATTGCTATGTGGTGTAACTGTACTATATTCTGAATAAAATATATTTGATATGTGTACCTATACTGTGGTTCTCAACCCCCACCCCACTTCCATGGAAAAATAAAACTGTCTTCCATGAAACTTGGCCCCCCCCCCCCCCCCCCCGGGGGTGCACAGCAGGAGGTGAGCAGCTGACTAGGAGGGAAGCTTCGTCTGTCTTTACAGCCTTATAGGCACTCCCCATCACTTGCATCACTGAGGTCCTCCACCCATCCCCCATCCATGGAAAAATTACCTTCCATGAAAACGGTCCCTGGTGCCAAAAAGGTTGGGGACCGCTGCCTATAGATATACCTAGGCCTTTACATTTATT